CCCATAACTATTTTGCAACTATCAATTTGTACTTCTTTATCTCTTCGTCTTTTTCACCCCGCATCTAAATCCCATCTGGCAACTATCAAAATGTTCTCTATAGGTCAATTCATATGGCATTTGTCTTTCTCTGTCTGACTTACTCCACTCAGCACAATGTTCTCTACGTCCATCCATGTGTTTCAGATGGCAAGAATTCATTCTTTTTTATGCCTGAGTAATATTCCAATTATATAACATATAATCACCTTATTTTTATCATTTCAACCACTGATGGACACCCAGGTTGCCTCCATATCTTGACAATTGTAAATAATTCTTCGATGAACACATGAATCCACATGTCCCTTCGAAGTAGTGTTTTGGGTTCTGCAGATACATACCTAGAAGTGTGATTACTGGGTCCTTCTTTGTCTATTGTTATAGCCATTGTTTTAAAGTCCATTTTGCCTGGTATATGTATTGTTACCCCAGATTTCTTTGCATTTCTTCTTTCATGAAGTATCTTTGTCCATCCTTTTACTTACAGTCTGTGTGTCTTTTGATGTGAAGAGAATCTTTTATAGGCAGCATTCATAAGGATCTTGTTTTCTTATCCATTCAGCCACTCTTCCTTTGGATTGGAACGCCTAATTGATTTACATTCAAAATAACTGTTGATAGATATGCAGTTATTGACATTTTATTATTCATATTTTTGATCTTTTTATACTATTTTCTTATTCTTCTTAAAGAAGTCCTTACAAAATTTCCTATAAATTTGGCTTGGTGGTGATGAACTCCTTTAGCTTTTTTGTTGTCTGGGAAGATCTTTATTTGTCCTTTGGTTCTGAATGATAGCTTTGTAGGGTAGAGTAATCTTGGATATAGGGACTGTTTTTCATCATTTTGACTATTTCTTGCCAATCCCATCTGGTCTGCAAAATTTCAGTTGAGAAATCAGCTGACATGCTCATGGGAGCTCCCTTGTAAGTAAGTAGCTGCCTTTCTCTTGGTGCTCCTAGGATTCTCTCTTTGTCCTTAACCTTTGACATTATCATTATGATGTGTCTTGGTGTGGGCCTGTCTGGGTTCCTCTTATTTGGGACTCTGTGCTTCCTGGACTTGTATCTCTATTTTCTTCACTAGGTTAGGAAAGTTTTCTGTCATTATTTCTTCAAATAAGTTCTCAATCCCTTGACTCTCTATTCTACTGCTAGTATACCTATGATGCTAATGTTAGTACACTTGAATATTGTCCCAGAGTTCTTTTTTCTTTCTTCTTTTTTTTTTTTTTCTGGTTCCGCTTTTTTTTTTTTTTTTTTTTTTTGCTACCTTATGTTCTAAATCGCTGATTCAATCCTCTGCTTCATCCCATCTACTATCGATTCCTTCTAATGCAGGCTTCATTTCAGTTATGGTATTCTTCATTTCTAACTGGTTCTCTTTTACGCTTTCCATTTCCATTTTCATGTTTTCTATCTCTCTGTTAAAGTTCTTACTGAGTTCATCTACCCGTCTCCTAAGTTTATTGAGCATCTTTATCACCAGTGTTTTGAACTCTGTATCTGGTAGTTTTTTCTAGAGTTTCCCCTTTATTTGTTCATTTGGGACATGTTTCTTTGTTTTCTCAATTTGGCTACCTCTCTGTGTTTGTTTCTATGTTATTAGGTAAATCTGCTACATCACCCAGTCTTAGCCTGGTGGCCTTATGTAGTAGGTGTCCTATGTGGCCCAGTGGTGCAGTCTCCTTGATCACCTGTGCCGGGTGCTCCAGGAGTGACCCTCGTGTGGTTGTGTGTGCCTCCCCATTGTATTTGAGCCTTGGTTGTTGTTGGCATGTCAGTGGTTGGGATTTACTCTTGGGCTGACTGGCTGTGAGGACTGGCCACACCCACAACATATGAGCTGCTGTGTGGGGGCTGATCCCCGGAGTGGAGTTTGCCCTAGTGGGTTCGTGTACCTGTTGAGACCACTCATGGGGTGTGCCACTTGTGGGGCTAATCGGGTGGTGCTCTGTTGAGGTCTGACACCAGCTTCCGGATGTGTTGGTCCCGACCCCCTTGGGAGGGCCTCCCGTACAGGTCAAGGTCAGCCGCTGCCTATGACCAGCTTGGGTCTACCTGGTAGGAGCTACAAAGCTATTTGTGTTTGGTCACTGCCTGAGCTGGACCTAGAGGTAAGTGGGAGAGGCCACGCATCTATCCGAGGCAGACTGCCACCAGTACCAAGCCTGGAGCAGCTCAGCAAAAGGCCCAGGGCACCCCTCAGGCATGAGGCTGTCTGCCGGCTGCCTGTAAGGCTCAGCAGCTGAATGAGCCCCTGGGGTACCAGAGTTGAAATAGTCTGGGTCTCAGAGAGTCATCGTGCTGGTGCAAGTGGTGTTCCCCAGGTTGGTGCAGATTCAGATTTGTTGCCAGTGCTGAGCCTGCGGCCACTCGCAAAAGTCTCAGCTCACACCAAGACCAGCCACTGCCGGCCTCGGGCCCACAGACCCCTGAGATTTGTTCCAAAAATACTGCAACTAGGGCCAGGGCTCGCTGCCACCACCGAAAGTGTCTCCCGAGGTGGGCGAGTGGAGGCCTGTTAATTGCTGCCGAAGGATCATCCTGCTGAGAGCATGGGGTGGGGCTGGTTGCCCAGTAACCGCCTGAAATTGCCGCCAAGCAAATTTTGAGTTGGGTAGGGCAGAGGTCTCAAGCAAATTTCGAGTTGGGTAGGGCAGAGGTCTCGGGGAGTCACTGGGGTGGAGCAGGCAGATCTCAGAAGGCCAATTAAGATTCGCTTTGGGCTGTGTGGGGGCAGGCTTCAACAGGGCAAGATGGCGCTCGCCTGCAGGCTACACAGGAGGAGGGCTCAAGGAAAGGAAAATGGCGGCTGTCCCTCCAGCCCTTGCCCTGAGGCCACACAACTCAGTCTTTCCCTGTATGTCTCTGGCACCTCACAAGCTGCTATCCCTCCGCCGGGGCCCAGGGTGAGTGCCTGCGAGAAAGTGAGTCTGTGGGCGGGCCTTTTAAGGGGACGTCTGGATTTCCTGCTGCCTTCAGTCTCACCTGGAAGGCCAGAATCCCCACTGATTTTCACAGCCAGATTTGTGGGGACTCCTCTTCCTGACACTGGAACCCTGGGCTGAGGAGCCCCAGTGTGAGGCTGGGGCCTCTCACTCTTCTGGAGAGTGGGGGCCTCCGCAGCCGAGATATTTCTCCCAATGTTCAACCACCACACGTGGGTGTGGGACCAGCCCATTTCATGTCTCTGCCCCTCTTACCAGTCTTGATGAGGTCTCCGCTTTATATTTGCAGTTACAGAAGTTCTGTTCAGCTAGTCTTCAGATTGTTCTCCAAGTTGACTGTTTCATAATTTAGCTGCAATTTTTAAGGCAGTCATGGGAGGAGGCACGCGCAGCGTTTACCTACCCCGCCATCTTGACCTGGCCTCAAGAAGTGTTTAACAAAGAGTAAAATAAAAATCAAGACCCCCTTCTTCCATTTTGTATTGCACCAGCATGAAGAAATGGCTACTGAGACTACAATAAGTCAAGTTTGCTTACTGACGTCAGAAGGAACAGTGATATTACTGTACATGAAGGCCAGTGAAGTGTGGTGGAAAGAGATGTGGACCTGGAGTGAAATTTATCTGAGATAAGATTTAAGGGTTCACCCCATACTAAATATGTAAACATAAGCAAGCAACTTCTTATCTCTGGTCCCCGGTTTCCTCATCTGTCAAACTCAAGTTAAAACAGCACCTGTCCCACTTCCTTATAGAGTGAGTTGTTGCAAGGATCAAATGCACAACTGTGAGAGGTTTCTGTAAACTCCAAAATGGTAGGCCAATTTGGCCTAATATTCTTATTAATAAATGAAAACCGAGTACTCTGAGCAGTTACAATCTACTATTGTAGCATCCTCTGTCACCACTTCAGAAAGGCTATATTTCAGAAAGCTAGCTATACCTTACCACAATATCAGCACTGAAGTTAGGCTGAATTCTTAGGGGTTCTTTATAGTTAAATCGTAACCCCAATTTAGAAAGAAGATCACAGAGTCATAAGTTAGTTGAAAAAAAAAAATTTGGAACTACAGTTAAACACCAGGGCGAATTGCTCGAGCTTTATTTTACCCTGCCTGCTCATTTGCTTTATGTAGGCAAGAACACGAGAGTTCAACAGGGTTTTCAGAATATTCTAGTTACAAAAGTGTCCCCACTCAGCTTTACTACTTTACAAACCTAACACTAGCTTAGATTGACCTGGGCTAGTTTAGTGTCCTCTCAGTACTAGCATTCTAGCCCTGCCAGGCTTCCTCTGACCCTCTGCAAAAAAAGCGAAACAAAACAAAACAAAACAAACAAAAAGGGGGAAAAATTGAAAAGACACACACACACACACACACACACACACACACACACACACACACACAGTGGGCTCCTTTGATTGGGTCTTAATTTCACTCGGTTGTCATTTATCACAAGTTACACAAAATGTCTCACTCATATAGAGGGCACACAAGGGGTTGGAAGAGGACCAGGGTTTTGTGAGAGAGTGCCCTTAGGAGGTTGTGAATCTCCCCAACCAAGGGCGAGGGATGGAAGGTGGGTGGGTCCTCTCTTCACATCCACTCAAGCAAGCAACAGGGTCTTCTAGAAGACCACTCCCTAGAACTTCACGTGTGCCCCTTCTACACGGGAGACCAAGAGGTGCTGTGACAGTGGTGCCAAGTGCACATGGCAGAGCCCATCTGCCCCTCCCCCATTAGAACCCAGCCTAGGACCCGCCCACCTCCCCACTCTCGCCATTGAGACGTCACCACAGCAACCCTGTTGCCCCAGGAGATGCCACAGCCCTCTCCAAAGAGTCTCAGGGCAAAGCCAGAGAGTCCTTGGCCCGGACCCCATCTCTCCTAGAGCTAAGCTCCTGCCTGCAGACCGATCCCCTCCTTCACCCCTCCCTCCCCCGCATCCCCTCTCCCCAGGGAGAGTTCCCGCATATTTCTTTGAGAAAGAAGAGAACGGAAGGCCTCATGAGTGAGGCAGGAGAGGCCACCCTCAGGAAGGGGGCCGCCTCAGTTTCCCCCCAAGACACGAGGAAAGGTCTCTTGTCCTTGGGAGGCGGAGATTCTTCCCGGGCCCTGGTGGCCAGCAACCTCAGCGGGGACGCGATCTCCGAGGCCACCGCGCGGGCGGGCGCCAGGGGAAAGGCGCCCGAGAAGGTCATCGCCAAGGGGGTCCGTGGCTCCGTGAAGTGGTTTAATGTGAAGAAAGGATACGGTTTCATCCGCAGACACGATACGGAGGAAGACGTGTTCGTGCACCACGCGGCCATAGCCCGGAACAACCCTCACAAGTACCAACGCAGCGTGGGCGACGGCGAGACGGTGGAGTTCGACGTGGTGCAGGGCGAGCGGGGCACCGAGGCCGCTAACGTGACCGGGCCGGCGGGCGCCCCAGTGGAGGGCAGCCGCTTTGCCGCCAACCGCTCCGGCGTCCGCCGCGGCTTCTACATCTGCCACCGCGCTCCTCAGTCTCGCCGTCCCCGGGGCGCCGAGGACGACGTCGACGAAGGCGAGGGCGGCGGCGACGGCTTCACCGTGACCCGGGGCCCGAGGTGCCGCCTGCTCAGCCTCCCTCCGAACCAACAGCTGCGGCTGCGGCGCTGCTCACCCTTCCGCAGGGCCCAGGCGGTGACCAGCGGCCCCTGGATCCTTGCTCCCGACCTCGGCCTGCAGGCCGCCCACCTGCCTGGGCCCACCCCTGCCGCAAGGCCCCAGGGCGCACCGCCCACGCGGAAGCCCGGCCTCAGCTACCGGCTGAGTCGCCCTAGGGGCCGAGGCCGCCCTCCTGGTCCTAAGCCCTCACCCGTCGTCTCCGAGGAGTTGACAGCGAAGGACGAGGAGAGTGGCCGCGTTGCTGGAGGCCTGCAGCAGAGGCCCCCGCCATACTATGGATCCCGACGCCCCATCCCGGAAGGAGCAGAGAGCAAGATCCTCGAGGGCCCTGCCGAAGCACCCGCTCGTGTTGCCAAGAAGAGCAGCCCCGCAGTCGTGGATGCCCCCTCCACGGCTCAGGCCGAGTGACAGCCCGATTCCCTCCCCAGGGACCCCCTGACCTGGGCTGCAGGTGATGTCCCCTTGAGGAGATGGTGCCCCTTGGTGCTACACAGTCCAAACATCCATTATTGACTGTTGGATTTGTGCCTTGAGAACAATACATGCCCCCGCCCCAAGGTTTGGGGGTAAACTACAGCATCTATATATTTCTAAGTTCCCTCTTACCATCTGCTTCGGTAGTTTCTGCACATACACTCACACAAACACACTCACACACACACGCACGCACGCATGCACGCACGCACTCGCATACGCACAGATCCAGATATGCACACATGATTCTGAATTTATTCTTTTTAAACATCTGACCAGGACCACAGCTATTCTGCATCCCCAAAATGTGCGATGTTACTCACCTGGGTGGTCATTTTCTCAATAAATCATTTCATGATGATTTTATCTCTTATCACTGTTGTCTGATTTTTTTTTTTTTTTTTAAAGCCTGCCAGCACACAGTTGTATTGAGACAGTCCTTTCAGTCTTTTTTTCAGAACCGGTTTTAGCAAACATCATACCTGCTGTTCTTTTTACAAGTCACAAACTTAAGACTAATTCTGAGCTTATGGATAGAACTTCTCAGGATATTCTAAAGGATTAGAAGACATGGAGAGGAAAGAAGTGTCCCCATCATTTTCTTTTTCATCCTCTTCTCCTGTCTTGCCATTTGAGCAATAAGTCTGGAGGGCAGGCCCATCCACCCACACTTACTCCTCAGGTACTCTCTGAGGCAAAGCACAAGAAACTGAGCAAAACATCATGACAAGCAAGAAAATTTGGCTCTCTGGAAACAGAATTTGCCTCTGACTTTTTTCTTCAATAGTATCATTTAAGTATTTTAAAGGAAATGGACATGAGGGGCTGGGAGTGGGGGGAGTGGGGTGATGTCAGTCAAAAGGTACAAACCTTCAGTTATAAGATGAATAAATTCCAGGGACCTAATGTACAGCATGGTGACGATAGTTAACAATACTATTTTGTATACTCCAAAGTTGCCATGAGAGTACAGCTTTAATGTTCTCACCATGACAGCAACAACAAAATGGTAATTATGTGAGGTGAGGATGTGTTAATTATCCTTATCTTGGTAAATATTTCACAGTACATACATGCATCTAACCACCACAGCATACATCTTAAATTTACAAAATGTCATACGTCAATTATATCTCAATAAAACTTGGCGTGGGGTGGGGGACTGAAGAAAAACAGGAAAACACGGGAAATGGGTATGGAAGCAGGTATAATTGTTGTGGTGGTACCTCTGGAGCTGGTCCTTAGTTTCCATCTGTGCTTCCTGGTTGAGTCCATCCAGGGGGCCTGTGGCAGATTTCTGGAAGGCTAAGCAAGTGAGGTTCAGCCCACCTCTGGCCCTTTCCCGTGAAATAGAGAAGCTTCGACTTCTCTATCCCGGTTTTCACTTGAACATATAGTGGGGTTGGTGGGTTGGAGGCAGGGGTTGGGTTTGAAGCCAACAAGGGTCTTTACAATCTCATTTTACAAATTGAGTTGGATTATCAATAGCAAAATCAAAGTACTTTCCTTGTTTTAATGTTGAGGCAGTTTACACCACATTACAGACTAGCACAAGATATTTGAAGAGCGAGTATTCATTTGGTATGGCTAAATATCCCCAATCAACTGGAGTAGAAGCAGTAAGTAGAGATTACTCATCCAGCAAATATTTGGGTGCCACTTGTGCCAGACGATCTGCCAGGCATTAGGAGTTGCATCATGTCATGATGAAGTAGGTCCCTTCTTTCAAGGAGCCCACGTTCTAGAGGAGAGTGAGACAAAACTGGCAATGACTACACAACGGAGTGAGTGCTCCACTGAGAAAAGAAACACAGGTGACCCAGATGATGGCGGGGTTGGCGCCAGGTTAAAGGAACCACTCCTTGGATATTTGAATTTAAAATGACATCTTGGAGGCGGGTCCATGACAGCAAGGTAGGAAGACCCTGAACTCGCCTCCTCCACCCGACACACGCAGTATAAACACCCGCACACAGAGCGATTCCTCCGGAATTGCAACTGAAAGCTGATGGAACAGCTTCTGCACTACAGACTAGAGAGGGACCACACAGATAAGGATAGGCGAGAAGGATAGGAGAGATGCTGTAACCACCGGAACCCCACCCCAGTGGGGAGATCTGCAGTGGGGAGGGATATCACTGAGGGACTGAGGGGCCCGCAGGGCAGACTTGCCTGCTGAGAGGCACAGAGATAAAACAGATTTCAAAGGGCACCTAGACTATACATGAAAACAAACTATTTACTGACCTCAGGGCATCTGCCAAACGTGTAGGGGAACTACGGGAACTCTCCTGGATCTGGATAGCTGGCAAAGACCGTTGTTTACATTCTTCCTTCACTGAGATAGAGATAGCGGTATGGGAGCTTAGTCCCATCCCTCCAGCCACACTGCAAGGCCTTCACAGAGCACCCTGGGCCACCTCACAAAGCTACATTAGCTGCAGCTCCAGCCAGCTGACCTCCAAGGGCTCCTCTAGAGTCCCCCAGGCCACCTTGCCCCACACCCGCTGCAGCCCTAGCCAGCTGGTTCACCAGGACGCCCCAGGCACCCTGCATCCCAGGCCAACTCAGCCAGCGCCCGCCCACTGAAGCCTGGGTTCGCCCCCAGGGCACACCACAGTGGTTGCAGCCCCAGCCTGCTAGCCCCCAGGGTGCCCACAGATCCTTGTGCCCCAGGCCAATGCAGGGAGCATCTGCTGCAGCCCTATTCACTCGGGCCCCCAGGGAGCACCCACAGCTGCATACCCCAGGCCACCTTGCCCTGTGGCCCCTGCAGGCCCAGCCAGCTGAACCCCTAAGGATACCACCCCCCACCCTTGAACCCAGCACCTATGGCCACCAGGTTCCCGCGGCCCCAGACAAGCAATCCACCAGGATACCCCAGGTGCCCTGTGCCCCTGGCAACTTCCACCAGAACGTGTTACAGCCCCTGCCAGCCAGCCTCCCATGGCGTCCCGTAGGTATATGTCCAGGAAGGGCTATCTCAGCCAGAGATGACTGCAGCCACTGCCAACCAGCACCCCAAGGCAGAGAGCGTTAAGCATTGTGAAGGGCAGGATTGAGGAAGGAAGCATTCAGATAAGTAATGGGGAGCATATCTTTAACTTATCACCCCTTTCCATGAATTTGAGTTTCGATTTAAGGTATACAAGCTTCACGTGAGCTTGTAAAAGTAATATAAACGGAGCCACTTTAAAATTGACCTGGAACTGCCATCCCGGTGGACTTGCCTTGCATGTCTTATGCCTCAAACCTTTGGAATGTTAAACCGGGGCAAAGTAAACTTAGGACTGGTCCTAAAGCAACATTCTGTCCCAAAGAACTGTTTGCAAACATAACAAGAAATCAGATATCACGACGACTCGACTAATGGCTACCAGACTGAAAATTAAAAGAAAACACAATTCTTTAGGATGAGCATCACTTATGTTACCTGATCTGCACCGATAGAAGAAATGCTTCCCTTCTATTAGTGCAATTGTTTCCCTTCCCTTTTTCATAAATACCCCTTGCCTTTGTCTTGTAATCGGAACAATATTTGTACTTCTGCTTGAATCACTGCTTCCTGAATCACTATTTATTTTTATTTCAAATAAACGTTTGTTGTCTCTCACTTGGAAAGGACTTTCATTTTTAGGTTGACATATCTGGCCTCTCGAACAGGATCTAAAGTGGCCTCCCTTTCATGGACCAACCACCCCTGGAACCCAGTATGGTTCCTACTGGCTATACTCTTTTTTTTTTAACCATATTTTTATTTTATTTATTTATTTTTTTACGATTCTTAATATTTCAATTAAAATACAATATTATGTTAGTATGATATACTATACTACTAGTGACATACAATATTAGTTTAAGGTGTACAACATAGTGATTAGACGTTTATATAACCTACAAAGTAAAGAAATTACAAAGGGATTGCAAAAATCTTATGTTTTATTAAGATAACTTCCTGTGTCTTTTATCCTCGAGTCTTTAATTGCTTAAGTAAATTGAATCTTAGAAAAAAGCTAAATTTAGCTTACAACTATTTAACTTTCTGTATTTGCCTGAAGAGTCTTTGTTACCATGATTAAATGAATAACTTAAGTATTGTTCCACAATTACCTATGATTCTATTTGACCAAATGTTTTAAAACTTTTGATACGTTTGACCAATTTGCCAAGATTCAAAAATTAAATAGTTTTGTCTTAACATTTGAGATTTTTATAAAATTTTATTTTATATTATATTGGTTTCAGGTGTACAGCACAATGGGTAGACATTTATATAACTTACGAAGTGATCCCCTCGATTACTGTAGTACCCGCCTGGCACATTATACATCGTTATTACGATATTATCGACTATATTCCCTACGCTGTACTTCACATCCCCGTGACAATTTTTTAACTACCAATTTGTACTTTTTATTCCCTTTACCTTTTCCAACCAGCTTCCTAACCCCACTTTCATTTAGCAATCACCAGTCTGTTCTCTGTATCTATGAGTCTGTTTTCGTTTTGTTTGTTCATTTTGTTCCTTAGGTTCCACATATAAGTATGATCATATAGACATGTTTTTTCTCCATCTGACCTATTTCACTTAGCATAATATCCTCCAGGTCCATCCATTGCAAATGGTAAGATTTCATTTTTTATGGCTAAGTAATGTTCCCTTGTATATATGTACCACCTCTTGTCTACTGATGGGAACTTTCGTTGCTTCCACATCTTTACTACTGTAAATAATGCTGCAGTGAACATAGGGGTGCATAAATATTTTCGAATTAGTGTTCAAATTACTCCAGATAAATACCCAGAAGTGGAATTGCCGGGTCATAAGGTAGTTCTGTTTTTAATTTCTTGAGGAACCTCCAAACTATTTTCCATAGTGGCTGTACCAATTTGCAATCTCATCAGCAGTTCACGAAAGTTCCCTTTTCCCCATA